GCTAAGCTTGTTCTCAGTAGGTGCTTTAGACCACTGAGCCATCTCACCAGCCCCCTAGTTGGTCTTTGAACTAGCAGAGACACAATCATTTGTGTACTTGTCTGCTCTATAAGCACCAGCTCTTAGCTGGGTGTGGAGGTGCAGGCCTGTAATCCCCGCACTCGAGAGGGGGAGGCAGGAGGATCACTGCAGGCTGGGGGCCAACCGAGACTACGTAATGAGATCTTGGTTTTTTTTTTTTTTGTGGAACCAGGGATTGAACTCAGGACCCTGTGCTCGCCAGACAAGTGCTTATTCTACTGAGCCATCTCCCCGACCCTCTGTTTTTTCTTAAAAAAAAAAAAAAGTCATATCTTACTATTACAGAGTGCCCATGCACACAGCAATTAAATAAAGTAACACATTCTTACTTTTTATATTTACAAAAACTTGAAGAACATTCAACGTTGAGGGCACAGAGGCCGCAGCGTCCATGTACTAAACGTAACACTCCCAACTGAGCATGACAGTTCTCAGCTGCGGTCCCAGCGCTCGCGAGGCTGAGCACAAGCATCACCGCAGTCTGAGGCCCGCCTGGGCCAGCCTGAGCTGCACAGCGCGACCCTGTCTCAATCCCCTCCCCTCGGGCCGGGGGACGGCTCAGTGGAAAAGCGCTTGCCTGGCAAACGCAAGGGCCTGAGTTCAATCCCCGGTTTAAAAAAAAAATATATATCAATCCCTTCCCCTCCAAATTCCATCCAACCAGCCAACCAACTAAACAACCAACCAAACAAAAAAAAATCCCCCCAAACCAAAATAAAAACCCCAAAACATTTCCGCCAAGTTAGAGTTATGAAATATTTTAGTGACACTAAATATCAAATGCCAGGGCCAGGGAGATAGCTCAGTGGCATAAGCACCTGCCTGGCAAGCACACAGTCCTGAGTTCGATCCCTGGTACCCCCCTGGGGGGGGAATATATATATATACCCTATTACAGTGAAAGCACTGTGTTGAGCAGCACTAGCGAGGAGGACAGGATGAGCAGGTGAGGTGCTGGCCTCCCAGAGCCAAGAGCCACCTGCAGGGGCAACTGAGCAAGGGTGACAAGTGCCAGAAAGCAGAGGAATGAGCCCCTGCTAGTGAAAGGGAGCTGGGACAGCTCCTTCGGAGGCTACGTGGTCTGCCCCTGCAGACAGGCTTGGTGGCCCTGCAGGCTGGCGGAGAGACATCTAGACCCGCTGCAGGCCAGCGGTGGAGACCGATCGCCTGCAGTTACCCCACTGAGCATGAAGTATTCAGGCTGTTGTGTGGGGACCAAAGCAACAATCAGGAATGAGAATCGGTGTGTCAGTGCCTGAGATATAAAATGTGGACAACATAGGGAAAATATTCTGAAAGAGTAAGCAAAGTTTAGCAGCTTTCTGAGATGTTATATCAGCAGTAGTTCCTTTCAGGAGAGGACATCAGGAACAAGCATCATGTCAAAACTAGGGGCTTCCCTGCCCATGGGCAGGCTACAGGCCACTGGGTCTGATCAAAGATCAGTCCTTTGCCACAGGGCTGCTGAAGCCACCGGAAGGACAGCTTGCAGCTCCAAGCGTGCAAGGGCATCTGAGCGATGCTGTCCCCTCATCCCTAGCACCTATGAAGACACAGCTGACGCATATTTCCTGAGCTCATGGCAATGTGATCTCTGAGCGGCTTCACCTTTTACCTTTACACTGCTGGCTTGGCCCCGCGCTCTGCCACTGCAGAGGATGCCCTGGAATACGGGGTGCCGGAAGCTATGCGCTAGCTCGTGGAGGGAGCAGTTTCAAGCTCGGCCCTGTTCCTTCCCAGCACTCACCCCTCTTGGCTGGGGCATGCAAGCATTCCCTGCCCGTCTAACTGGTTTGTGCGGTTTGCCTGATTTTCTTTTTACCAGCAAAATATGACATATTGTAAGCCAGTTTTGGGAAACAGAAGGTATTTGTTACATGCTCTCAACAACAACAAGAAAATCACAGCAGACAGGGAGTGTAACTGCGGCGGCTTCAGCTAGATCATTTGCGGCTCCTGAAGGCAGTGGGCTGCGGGGGCCTGCATGTTGATCTCTTGCAGTATTTTTTTTTTTTTTTTTTGGTGGAACCAGGGATTAAACTCAGGCCCTTGCGCTTGCCAGGGAAGCTCTTATTTCACTGAGCCATCTCCCTGGCCCGATCTCTTGCAGTTTAAACCTGTGAAATATTACTCATATTTGCCACTGTGATATAATATTAAATATGTTTGATTTTCATCCCTAATTCTTATCTTAGAGCTCCTAAGTCTCCCTGGAATTTCCTGAGTATAAAGGAATTGTTTTGTTACTCATCATAAACCCCTGTGATAACTACACTAATTACTTATGATGTGGCCTCGGGAGGGGGCAGTCAGTTGAAAGACCAAGTGACAACGGATAAGAGGACTGGACCTTTCAACTCACCTGCTGACCTCTGGGCTGGACAGCAAGCTCTGTAAAGACTCTGGAATGAGATCTGATGAGCTTTTGGAACTTGGTACGCAGGGGAGCGTGCTCGTGTTCGGGAGGGCCCTCCGCGTGGCTTCGGTGGCTGTTCCCTGTGTCCTGACTGGCAAATGTGTTGCCCTGCATTCTGTGAGTCATCCTAGCAAATATGGTGGAGCAGGAGGGCCCGGGAGTCAATGGGCCAGAAGTACGGTGGCCTGGGCGTGCCACTGGCATCAAAAGCAGGGGCTGTTTATGGGATTGGGGCCTCAATCCTATGGGACCCGATAGTATTTCCAGGTAACTACAATCAGAATTAAATCAAAGTATTCATTTAGACCCAGTCAGCATCTTCTGGAGAACTGCTCGATGTGTGGGGGGCCAACTGCCCCCCACCTCTGCCACAGAAATACTCTTCGTGTGACAACAGAGGGAAAAGCTTTCTTTCTAACACTTACACATTCTCAGAGGAGTGTGTAATGTATCCTGGGTGCGAATACGGTTGTCCAACAGTTTCCTCAGGAGGTTAGTTCTGAGACTCCTCACGTTGGACGGCGTGACCTACGTAACCTGTGCATTTCCTCCTGTATACTTTCAATCAAATCCAAATGACTTATAACACCCAATACAATGTCAGTGCTATTTAAATAGTCATTGTACTATATTGCTTAGGGAATAATTGTAAGAAAAAAGTCCGTCCATGTTCAATAGAGACACAGCCATCGTAGGTGAACCTGTGTACTACAGGTCAGCAGCTATCGATCTAGGTTGGTTGAATTTAAGGATTTAGAACCTTTAAACTGTACAACCGTCTTCCCCATATTTGCCCATACACATACCTATACCCTGACGTCATCTGATAGTGTATTAATGCAATGACCTTTTTATTTGGATGCCACTGCTATGGTGGGAAAGGAGTATTAATCTTTATATGGATTTAGCCAGTCCTTGACTAGCACATCATTTTTCAGGGTCTCACTGCCGAGGTTAGGGTGGCCTTTAACTCAGTATGTAGCTCAGGCAGGCCTCGAAATCACGGCAATCCTCCTGCCTCAGCCTCCCAAGTGCTGGGATTACGGGCAGGTGCCTCCATACCTGGCAACTAACAATTTTCAAAAAGTCTTATGAATGCATAACATGGAATTAAGTATTAAGAAGCACTCTCTGGAAATGTTTGCTTTTAAAAACAAGTAGATCATCTGGAAGGGCCGTTAGAGTTCACGAGATGACAAGCACTTTTCCTCCGCAGCAAGCTGTTTCGGTGCTGCTTGCTGCCGTCTGTCCACCCCAGCAGGACAGGCTTTGGTTTCTTCACAGAGGCTGAGGCACTTGTCTGTTTTGCAGTTTGGCAAGAACAAGTTTTATCAGAATGTGGTTATTAGAACCTTGGGGTTTTCTTCTTTCTTCATTGAGTCTTTTGGTTTTTTTCCAGATCTGAACCTGAAAATACAGTTGCTGCTAAAGAAAATGAAATATTCAAGATTATTCTTCTCAAAAAACCACACTAAAAGACATTTCTCCCAATGGGCCGGGGAGATGGCTCAGTGGAATAAGTGCTTCCCTGGCAAGTGCAAGGGCCTGAGTTCAATTCCCGGTTCTGCCAAAAAAAAAAAAAAAAAGACATTTCTCCCAACAAGGGATGAGTAGCTATTAGCAGTTATTTGAACTCTAATTGAAGACCCTCATGAATAGAGAACTACTATTCTAGGATTTTGAATATCTAGTATTATTTCTGTAATTAAATATAAGATGAAGAATTTAAGCACATTTACAGCTTTCCTGAGGCAATGCTGGAGGAGTAGCCATGAATATCCTGGCAGATAAAGTTGATAGTGAGGTGGTTACGCTGACATTTCAGATGTCAAACCTAATCGTTCCAAATTCATGTTCAAACACTGAAAAGCTTGAGAACTGATCATATTTTTCCCATACAAAATAATGAAAAAGCACATTTTTTTAAATGGAACTAGGGATTGAACTCAGGCCCCTGTGCTTGCAAGGGAAGTGCTTATTCCACTGAGCCACCTCCCTGGCCCCCACACAACTGGTTCTAAGGCCCCTAAACTCACACTCTAAGCTTCGCCATCTTACTAATTTTCTTTGTGGTGGTTCTTGTGGAGCTAGGACAAGAAGCCAGGGCTCTGTGCTCTATCCAAGCGCCCCAGCACTGAGCAGAGCACCCAGCTCCAGAGGACTTTAACAAATTGCACACAGTTTCTTTCAACTACTGTGGTTCTCCAAGTTTCCTGCTTTGAGGATGATGTTTAGCTTGACTGCTGGTGTCACTCTGTATGAAGCCATGATTACGATACTTTATGCAAAATAAAGAGCAAAAGAAACAAGTGCAGTGACAAATGTGGCAGCACACTCACATGAGTGCCCTGCTGTGTCAGTACAAAGCGCTAGCTAACATCTTTTTCCTGGATAATCTAACTCTCTCCCTCATTTTGAATTGTCACATTTTATCACATAATGAGGGTGAGAGTGGCGCTTTGATGGAAGGCCGCCCTTTGCATCTGACTTGTTCTCACCCCAGAGAGGATATTTTAAGTCAGAGTTTTGGCTCAGCTATCAGCAAAAGTGCCAACACTGAGCAGATGTTTTCCAAACTTGGCTGTTCAGTGAGTAGTGGAAAGTCTTGAGCATGGAGCCACTTATCAACCAAGGCCTCACGGTATATCTTTAGAAAAAATACATAAAAAATGGGTGCCTTTTGTTGTACACATTCTGTCAGAAATCAGGCTCACATATGCATGCACTGAGCTGGATTATGGCCAGATACTGCCAACACTACGTTTGGGACCGTAAGCCAGAAATGTAAAATATTACCACATGATAGATGCAAACACTGAAGGTTTAAGGAAACTTCAATGATTGCCTGAAGCTTTACAGTACATGCGGCTGTTAAGCCAGGTGGATTCACCTTATAACACAAACTTCTCCATATTACTAATCTTTGTTGTTGTTCTTGAGGACCTAGCCTAGCACCCAGGGCTTTGTGCTCTCGACCCAAGCACTCTAGTACTGAGAAGAGCACTCAGCTCCACAGAGAGAGACCTGGCCTGGGAACTCTCGTTTGCTGTTCATTATATCCGTAGGAACACGCCGCTTAGCACCAGCGAAGTGTTTCCTAAGGTCTGTGAAGTTTTCCTAGCAAATTACTGAGCACAAGGAGGCGAACTGTGGAAAATGGAGTTTCCAGGCGGGTCAGACACAGGCAGGGGAGGCCAGGGCAGCACCGCGGGGCGGACGGGAGCGGGCTGCCACCTCCAGGGAGTGCTGGGCCTGACCCACATGGCAGCACACGCAGAGGAGGTCAGAAATGGCCGGGCCCAAAAGATGCCCCTTACACAGTCTTGTAGTACAGAATTATTGTATTTTATTTTGCATTTCTTTATTAGTGCAGACAAGTAATTTCTCAAGTGCATGCTGGAATCTGGGCTTTCACCTGGTGTTAAGTGCCTCTATAAGGCCTTAACCAGCTTTCCTATCATGTTTTCTCCCCATTGGCTACTCAGGGCCTTTTGTACATTAGCTATTTTAGCCCATGTTTGTATTTTGTGTTGCAAATATTTTTCATGTCTTACTGGATTTTGTTTTTATGGTTTTTTTTTGCCTTTTTAAAATTGTATGACTAGGTATAGCAACTTTTCTTTTTTTTTTTTTTTTTGGTGGAACCAGGGATTGAACTCAGGCCCTTGTGCTTGCCAGGGAAGCGCTTATTCTACTGAGCTATCTCCCTGGCCCCACAACTTTTTTTTTACGTCCCTTTTATTTTGACATTATTCTCAGAAAGACTGGCTCTAAAGGTTATAAAAACATTCAGGTTTTCCAGGTGTGAGGCTAGTGTGGTGCTGGACGAGGCGGGAGCTGAGGCTAGCTCAGCCTAGCGTGGTATTTCCCTGGCTCCATTTGCAGCACTGCAAGAACTATAATAAAAGTATGTTCTCTTCAGGAACATTTATGATATTATACTTTTAAACCTATATTTTGGGGCTGGGGAGATGGCTCAGTAGAATAAGCGCTTCCCTGGCAAGTGCAAGGGCCTGAGTTCAATTCTTGGTTCCGCAAAAAAAAAAAAAAAAAAAAAAGAATAAATAAATAAATAAACCTATATTTCACCTTTCTGGTGTTTATTTGGATATATATGTTAGGATTTAATTTTTCATTTCCTCACTATGTCTATGTTCTAACATCTTTTTCCTGAATAACCTAACTCTCTCCCTCTTTTTGTTAATTTATTTTTTTTTGGTGGAACTGGGGATTGAACTCAGGCTCTTGTGCTTGCCAGGGAAGCGCTTATTCTACTGAGCCATCTCCCCGGCCCCTTCTCCCTCATTTTGAATTGCTACATTTTATCACATAATGAATTATATTTTTTTTTTGGGCTTTGTATATATCCTACACCATGGACCACTGATTTCTAGTCTTACACCATTACTTCACTTGCTTAACAGTATGCTTTTTGTCTGACAGAACTGGTCTATTCTTTTTTTTCTTAACTTTCCTCACTTAATTTTTTTTCTTCAGTACTAGAGACTGAACTCAGGGCCTTGCACATGCCAGACAAACGCTCCACCCCAGTCCTTTTCATTTGGAGACAGGGTCCCACCAAGCTGCCCAGGCTGGCTAGCTATTCTTTCATGTTTGTTCTTTGGATCATTTCAAGTTCCACTTACCATTTCACTTTCTGCATCTGTTCTAAGGTCTCTGGTAGAGTCACTCCAAAGCTTTCGGGGAAGAAAAGGGTGACAATTCCAATGAGGACAGTCAGACTGCCCATGACAATGTAGGGCAGGAGTCTGTTGTAAGAACCTGCAAACCACCAGACATAAGCACACTGGTTAGACCCAGAGGTTTCCTGGACACTCTGGAGGGTCACTCTGTGAAGGTGGCACACACTAGGACAGCAGTTTTAAGTAGGAACATTTTCCAAAGAACAGATCAGCAAAACATCAGCTTCTTCTTGGCAGATATCCTTGACTGCATTTTAATAATCATTTACCTATTTGATTTTTAGTTACTGTAAAATTCTTGTAGTCTTGCTTGCCAACTGGTGTCTTCTAAGTTACTGCTTAATCATGTGTGACAGATGTTCTCCTGACAGAAGTCTTTGCCTCCCAGAGCTCATCTCTTGAGGTCAAGGTGACCACAGATGAGGGGCACCAAGTGGCAAGAGGCTGAGGAGGCTGTTTCAGGCCATCGCAATTCTAGTGCCACCTTGCTTTTGCCTAAAGCCATAGGCCATAGTGGAAAATGAGGTCCGCAGAGTCCTGAGACTCTTAAATGAAGTAGTATTTTTGATCAAATTGAAAGCAATAAATAATAAGCATGGGGTACACTGTGTCAAAGTGCTGTGCCTGGAATTAGTTTCTGTTTTATTTTATTTTATTTTTTTAAAGTTTTTTAAAAAATTTTATTTATGTGTGTGTGTGTGTGTGTGTGTGTGGCCAGCTCAGCCCACCAGGGGGCGGGGCTGGCTGGCATGTGGTGCTGGGGGATTGAACCGTGGTCCCTGTGCTTTGCTAAGCTTGTTCCAAGTAGGTGCTTTAGACCACTGAGCCATCTCACCAGCCCCTCTGTTTTATTTTTATTAATACATGTTTGCAGGTCATGCAGTTGCAATCAACTTGGGGAGTGGTGTTACAGTTTGTGTTTAGCTGTTCCCCGAAAGCCTCATGTATGTCAGGGGGCAGTCCCGGCTTGAGAAGCAGGGAATGGTTGAGGGGCGGGGCCAGAGGATGGGGCGGGGCCAAGGGCGGGGTCAGACCTTTAAACTGGCAGCACTGCTCAGCCCCCTCAGGCCTTAGGGCTCCCTCGGAGGTGTGGAGGGGGGTCATCCTGCACACCGTGGCACCCCAGCCTCTCCTTCAGACCCTGCAGCCAGTGATGTTTGCGACTGAGGCTGAGGAGATGTTTGGAGATGACAGAGGCACTGACTCTCCTGAGCAAATAAGGCTCCAAGGTCTTGCTACATAATTCAGGCTGCTTTGAACTATGAAACCTCCAGTAACTGTGAGCTAAATAGACCATTCCTTCCTTCATTTTAAGTGTTGGGTATTTGTCCCAGCATCGAGAGAAGAGTAACTAAGACAAGAGGTTATACGTGTATATCACACCTTGTTTTTTTATTGAAATCCACTTCCCCTTCCTTCTCCCTACAGGTTCTTCTATCCCCTTTTTGTACTTCTTGATATTATTTGTCTTAGTCCAAGTCATGGTATATAACGTGTACCTTCACCGGGGCCATTAGGATGCCGTGCTTGGGGCGTCCTTATTGCTCTCGTCTCCTTCCCCTCCTCCTCACCTTTTCTTCGTTCCCTGGTCCTCTTCCCTATTGCAGGAGACCTGTCCTTAATGGAGACCACTATGAAGCAGCCCTGAGCAGGACTTAGATCCACCGATGGGCTTTTCATATGTACTTGTGAGTCCCTCCAAAGCCTAGGCTGCTTGTCTGGGAACGGGCGGTGGACTTGGCAAGTGAACAGCTGTGAGTCATTGATCCCTACTGAGGCCTGTAATGGCAGATAGAGCCAGAAAGCCCCAAAGAAGGTCGCAGCCAAGGACACCTGGATCCAACCTCAACTTGCTGAAGACTTTAGCCTCAGGCATCTCACTCTTGGGTGGATTAACTTAATATTTTACTGGGAGAAGTCCTTGAGTGGTTCCCATCCTTCTTGAGTATTCTCCCTTTTGATAACTAAATAAATACTATGGGCTTCCCAGAGAAGGTCTTGGTCTTAGCCCCAGAAGAATCTCAAATTCTGTGGGAGGGCTTTGATCCTGCTGGAGCCCTGAATTTGTTCCTCTTGCCTCTTTTTATTTAGCCTTTGCAGTACATTCATTTGGGAGATTGCAGACCTGACCAGCCCGTAATAACTAAGGGATACTATTAGCCCAATACACCCCCTTGTACCTTTCTACCCATCCTTTATAATTTTGTTTGTACTTTGCCTCACTTAAATGAGAGATCCATTTGGTGTCTGTGTGTCTGATTATTTTACTCAACATTACATTTTCGAGATCCATCTATTTTCCTACAAATGTCTCAAATCTGTCATTCTTTTTTAACAATTTGTTCTTATGTATTTGGACTCACAGTGATCCTCCTGTTTTCAGCCTCCCCAGTGCTGGGATCACAGGCATGTGCCACCACATGCCTGGTCTTGGTGGCCAGCTCAGCACACCTGGTTTAGGGGCTAGTGTGGCATGTGGTCCGACGATCGAACCCTGGTCCCTGTGCTTGCCTAAGCAGGTACTTAGTCTGCTGAGCTATCTCGCCAGCCCTCAAATCTGTCATTCTTTATAAATGAGTGGTTGGAATTAGTTTCTTTTCACAGATTGACATGTATTCACTTTATACATAGTTGGAAGAATCATTCCACTACTTCTTTGTGTGGAATTTCTTGGACAGGGGGATGATAGGTCCTCATCTCCCTTCCCTTCTGTGCACAGAGGTTACACAGGAAAAAGACACCTTATATAGCATTTTATCTAAAACACAAGAAAAACATTGATCTGGAGGCTCTTCTAGGACTTGTGCTGCTAACAGAGTAGCTCTGGAGGTGTGAACGCCTCGCTGCTCTGGGGCCCCTCCATCCAACCTTCTGAGTATGGTTTGAAAGTATGGGGAAGAAGCAAATGTAATACGCATGGCATTATTGTTCAGAGTAGCTGTGCAGGCCACTCTTACATTAGGAAAAGGCTTCTCTGTGAGAATTTAGAGTGTATCTTTGGAAAGTGTGCGTGTGTGTGCTCACACGTGCCAATAAGTAACCAGGATGCCTGGAAGAAGAGAGAGGAGGGTCTGCGTTTCTCATCAGTGGAGTCCTTTGAAAGGAGGAGGCGAGGATGCTGGACCCTACACCCCACCCGGCACCTCACGAAAGCCTCTCTGGAATTATTCTAGATCGGTCCACTTAAGTATATAACAACTAAAAGTTTTTACATTGAAGTCAAAATGCAAGTGACAAACTAGGAAAATAATTTACAACATAGACACAGAAGGCTTCTTTCCTTCTATTGCCAAGAGCTCACACAAATCAAAAAGCAGGGGGCTGGTGAGATGGCTCAGTGGTCTAAAGCACCTACTTAGAACAAGCTTAGCAAAGCACAGGGACCGCGGTTCAATCCCCCAGCACCATATGCCAGCCAGCCCCGCCCCCTGGTGGACTGAGCTGGCCACACACACACACACACACACACACACAAATAAATAAATAAATAAAATTAAAAAAAAAATCAAAAAGCAGCAGATGAAAAGACCACTAGGATGATGGGCAGGAGACACGAGCAGTCAGCTCACTAACAAGTAAGTGGAACGGCTAAGAAATGTATGAAAACATGCTCAATGACACTATAATTAAACAAAAAGGCAATAGTGATGTCCATTTTTCATACAACAGAATACCAAGTGTTTAAAAACTGGCAGTTTCTACTTACGGTAAGAATATGGGAAAATAACCATTCTCATCTACTGACGGATTGCAATTGGTACAATACTTAGAATTCAACTTAGGACTATTTATGAAAATGAAATAAGGCCAGGGATATAGCTCAGTGGCACAGCACCAGCCTGGCAAGTGCAAAGATCACAAGTTTGATTCCCTGTACAAAAAAAAAAATTCCTTTTCTCCAGCAATTTTACTTCTTTGAATCTACCTATGACTCCAAATATATGTAAAGAAATGCGCAGAGGGCATAGTGGTTAGGGAAATTTGGGTTGTGGAGTTACAGTTTTGTTCAGGTTGAGCAGCCTTTATCCAAAATGCTTGGAACCAGAAGTGTTTTCAATTCCAGAGCTTTTGGTGTTTGGGGATATTTGCATAGACTCTACCAAATGAGCATTCCTAACCTGAAAATCTGAAATCTAAAATGTTCAAAAATCTGTATACTGACCTTCAAAATGTTTCATATTTTTGAGCATTTTGGATTTTGGGTTTTCAGATTAGG